TTTTTGTTGTTGTTGTTGATATACGTTTATGGGATAAATCGAATACATTAAATGAAATAAGACTCGTGAGCACCTCCCTGTGTGGTTAAGCAAAGATGTAGTTAAAAACGGTTAACAGCTCCATGTTAGACCATCTAATTCAGACGGGACATACAGCCAACATGGAGCAATCTTTCGCAATAATATATCGTGTTAACAGCAGTTTACCTAATTCCGTCAGACTGAGAATCCTGTCGACGGCTGAAGCGATTGCTATTCGGATCAAAAAAGCCAGAGATTTGCATCCAAAAGAAATATGTTTAGTCGATCCTTTTACCTTGGGCGAATTCGAGGTCAACTAGTTAATAATCAATTTCATAATATTATTATCTTATTATTACTATCTTTACCATTATTATTATTATTATTAATATTACTACACTTGATAACCTTGTTGAGAAATTTATTCACTATCCACCCCTATCTACTATATCTGACCTCATTCATATTATTCTACATATTACGTAATTTCTGATTTTTATTCCATTATTCTCTCTCTCTCTCACCCCATATTGACCATATTTATTCTGATCATTATTTATCCCACAATTTCATTTCATTTATAAACTGATTCAAGTGAACAACTTTATATCAATCAGCTTCAGCATGAACGATTCGATTTGATTTGATCTGATATATGACAAACAACAATTCTTGATTCACATATTACAATTTCCAAATGATGTACTCTGCCTTCAATCTGGTCAATCTTATGGATCATTAATATGGATATGAGATAATTATGGAAGCTGATGAGAAATTCATTGAAAGGAATATTCTTCATTCATATGAATTGTGTTTCAGATACTGATTATTTCTCTTGACCTTTAGTTTGAAATCAGTTGACATCTTTCCAATGATATTCCGAAAACTACGATTTCCGGATTTGAATTTATTTCATCTCTGTTATTACTAAGTACTCTAAACTACATAATAAATACTGTAAATCCACCGAAACAGTTTTTAAGGTACTTTGTACGTCTATAAGTTACCAGAGAGTGAATTTATTGGACGTCAAGAAGCAGTAGAAACTTGTTTTTATTTTCGTCATAAATTTCTAAGCTGTGTACTCTGACGATATTCAGGCTTCTATTTTCTCAAAGAAATTGTTGCAATCGATGAATTGAATTGAGATTTTTATGGTATAAAGTCTTTCGCAAAATGAATCTCATGATATGATGCAACAGTTATATTGTATTATCAGTACATGACTCTCTGGTACCCTATTTCTTCAAAATATTATGTCGTGGATTCATGTTATGACTTTCAAAAATCCATATTCATACTATTCAGTATTGAGTATAGAATTGGTACGATTACCAAGTGATGTTTTAAAGAACATTTTGGTACATTTCGAAAGTAATTTTCATTGCAAACATATATCAGTGTTCATAGTCTGAACCATGAACTTGTCCCAGAAGAACTACTCCTGGAAACCAAAAGGCATTTGACAGCTGTTTTGTCCTAGTATCGGGCTTCTCAGTTATGGGAATTCATGAACCCGCATCCAGGTAAGGGTTCAGAACCTTTGGTCTTGTACATCAACGCTTAACCACTAGACCACTGATTGAAACCGAAAAATTCTACAATCACCACAAAACTTTATGCTAATAATAATCATGTGCTCACTAATGACCAACATCTAAATGTGATCCCAGGATTTCTAGTGTGAGGCTGTAACCTTTAGGAATTTGACTCTATCGGGCGTGAGGCAATTACATACATGGAAAGTGGCCCCACAGTATCATGAATTGATTGAGGTTAAATATATACACCATTAGATCCTGACTCGGTGGTTTCGAGTTCAAGCATTCACGCACGAAATCGAATTTCCTGTGTTCGATTTCCGTATGCATGATCATGGATGTCTATTACTAAGGAGCCTCATCGTAGGACGGAACGGCTGTTCTATGTTTCCCGAACCCTATTTCGATAATAATACTTGGTTAATCTCTGAATATTATGCGTTACTACATAACTATTTGCTCCTACCGACTACAGATTAGAGCTAAGAAACTTTCTATTTGATATATACCTTCATATATTTTCCATACAACATTCAACAAACACTTTATCTAACCAAAATGTCGCCTATACAATGAAATGTTAATATATGGATGATACAATGTGGTTATATTTATTTCATCACTCAATTATTATCAGATATCATTCTAACGTACGTTCATATGTTACTTTTAAACAGTGTAATTGTAATATAAACATGATCATTACTAATGGCCATTGTTTTTGTAGTAACATAATTGTAGATATCAACTGAATTTTATTTATCCATCAGTTTGTATTAAAAAATAATAACCATTTTCAAATTATACTGTTTCATAATGTAAATAATTCTCTAAAGTGCATAATGTATAAGTATTTCATAATATAACCAGTTGAATATATGTTGAATGTTAAAAACGGTGGCCAAATAGTTCAATCAGTTTGGATGATTATGCCAAAAATGAAAATTATCCTATGGGGTTTATGTTCCAGTTTATTACTTACTTACTTACGCATGTGACCCCTCGAGGAGGGGCATAGACTAGCCACCAGCATTCTGCATTCGAATCTGTTCTGGGCAATCCTTTTCAGCTGTTTCCAGTTCCTGTTCATTCTTCTAATGTCTGCTTCCAATTCGAGACGCAGTGTGTTATTTGGTCTTCTTCATTATCTTTTCCCTTCAGGATTCCATGTTAGCGCTTACCTCGTGATGTAGTTTGATGATTTCCGTAAGGTGATTCTCATCCACTTCCAACATCTTTTCCTTATCTCCTCTTCAGTTGGACGTTGATTTATTCTCTCTCATAGTAGGATGATTGATTGTATTTGGTCCATAACTTCTGGTCCGAAGCCGGGGTGGAAGGATGAGGGTTGGGCATAGAGTCAGCAATCTCATCTCTTAAAAATCAACTTTTCTAAAATTTCGCTAACCAGTTTCAGTTTATGGCATGATAATAATAATAATAATAATAATATAGCTATGTAATAAGAAATGAGACGAAATAAAGCTAGTATATTGGTAAAAAATACTTGTAATTCACAATTACAATAAATACACAACAATACTGTATGTTTGTCTTATAAAATTCAGTTTAACGCTTTACGATAAATAAGGAGAAAACACATACTTATATTTGTGAAAAATAGGAAAAATTGTAGAGAACATTTATCTCTGTTTACGTATTTGTGGAGATCTGTTGAATTTGGGAATAATCACCTAGTTTTTAATAAAGAACTGAACAATCTAAAAAGTAACAGTATACTCGTTGTTAACTAGTTCGAACGTGGATTTCTTGGAGAGAAACTTATGAAATCAACTATGTATAGAGTGATTCACTTAACCATTGATGGTATTGGGTGATGTTGATACCTTATCATTACTACATCCTCTCTTAACTTTATCGGACATGAATAGTTTGGTATCGAACTTATATATTTGCATTGATTTATCCCAAAGTAATAACAATAATATATTTAATGTTTGATATACTATTTATATGGTGGATTTATAAAGATTCTATAATCTTCACTTTCTAAAATTTACAAACTATCTAGTTATTAATATCAGATGGGTTTTTGTGGAAATTGTAGTAATTTCAATGGTTAAGACCATGAGTCAGTGGAGTTCAACCAGGTCTGTTGTGAGATAGTAACTCACTGAAGAAAACGGTGAATGTGTCGCTCAATTTCGTGGATTAGTTGAAGTTAGACATTAACACCATTGGATGCCGGCTCAGTGGTCTAGTGGTTAAGTGCTCGGGCGCGAAACCAGTAGGTCCTGGGTTCGAATCTTTCAGGGGGCGAGGTCGTGGATGCGCACTGCTGAGGAGTCCCACAATAGGACAGAACGGCCGTCCAGTGCTCCCAGGTTTTCCATGGTGGTCTAGCTTCAACTGAATCATGATCTTAACCACTGAAATATCTAGTTATTGTTAAAATGCATAAATGGAATCTTTGTATAACGAATTCATTTCATTTAAATGATTTCATTGTGTTTAATTTATATTTTGTCAAATAAAACATGACAACATAAAATAAATGTCGATGAAAGTGGAGGAAACGAAATCCCTGAATACTTACTTCATTGATTGTTCAGTTAATAATTGATTGAATATACAATTATGTCAACTTTTGATAGACCATTAATATATAAAAACCAATAGCTGATCAAATACATCACATCATTTCTGATAAGATTAGTATTGATTGTAACAATCAGATGTTAACCGTAGTATACAGGATTTTAACAGTTTACATACCTGTTTCACTTTTATTTAAGTTAACCTTTTAGTTTAGAATAGTCATATACACCAAGAATTGTTGTGATTTTCATTATAAGTAATAGTTTTTCATGATGCTGCATTTCAACGATCGTTGAATCGCCCCCCCATCGCGATTTAATATCTTCTTTAGAGCTAGGTCATTTATCCAAATCAATAATTGTGAATGTGTAGTTCTGATTCATGAAGGTATTCTTTTTTAATTATAGATCTCTGATGTGTAAGAAGTGAAAATAACAATCAAAACACTTTGTTGCTGAAACAAATGTATTTTTAATATCAGAAGGGGTTTTGTGGATAATATAGTAATTTCAAAGTTGCGATCATGAGCCAATTGAAGCTAGATCACCATAAAAAACCTAGTGGTTAACGGTTCGCGCGAGACTGTTAGGTCCTGGGTTCGAATCTCGCGAGGCGGGACCTTGGATACGCACTGCTGAGGAGTCCCACAGTAGGACGAAACTTCCGTCCAGTGCTTCCATGTTTCACATGGTGGTCCAGGTTCAATTGACTCGTGATTTCAACTATCGAAAATGCATTTTTAATTAGTATTTCAGTTTTTTGTGAATTATTGATCATTCACTGTATTGACAATAATGCTAAATTACTTTACATATTATCTGTCTTCAATTAGACAAGTGAAATTTTCTTTAAACTGTTCTCTTCATGCTAATTTGCTTAAAATCGTTTTTGCAAAATAGCGTTTATATTTCGATTTTCAAAGTTTTTACACTTCGAACGGTGACATCTTCCACTACAACAATCTTTATTTCTCCAACATGAACGATCAACTCGTAACAACGGTACACATTTACCCTTAGAACTATTTAACTGACACGTGGCATCACCACAACAACGATGAAATATAGTTCTACGACAAGAGTCACCAAGACGTTTACATTTGAATAAAACTGAAATAAGAAACCAGATATAAACTTCTAAATTGACTTAGAATATAAACTCAAACAACAATTTGATAATAGTTATGGGGATTATATTATAAGCACATTTCTGTATAATTCATTCTTTGTAATACTTTTAGGAATAATGAAAAAGAATGATCAATTGATTGTTTGTCGTTCGTAGCAAAAGCAGTAATTTAATGTTTGAGGAATTGGAATTTTCATATTTATGTTGAAAGGATAGCGATTACAGGACTTACATTGATTTAGTGTACCGTTTAGTTTGCAGCCAAGCACTTGAACGCGAGTATGGTTGTAAAATTGCAATAAATCTATTGAATATTGAACTACAGAGTATCAGTTAATTTTATTTTCAAAAAAGAAGTATGATGTATGATCAAATACAAATCATAATCAATTACCTATTACCAAGACAGTAAGATAACAATTTTTCGTTTGGAACTATTTGTGTACCATTTTCAGTAATGTAATGTAACTTAGCCAAAGTGTAAACAACCAGTTTTTTTGGACAAAAGTTTTTAATATATTTTTCAATTTTTGTTATAACCTGTGGCCTGTGTACCCTGCTAACATATAACGTGATGATACCGTCAATTAAAGAACAATGAATTATTGATCGGATCAGTGACGCATAAAACCGTACGAGCAGTCTAGAGTCCTTATCGGTCCTTCTTCCTGCCTAACTCAGCCAGTTAAGTTCAGAACACAAATCTCAGCCTCTGTGATACGAATCGTATATTTCAACATACTGGGTTTATATACCAACCAGACAGACTACATCGAACCATAAAATAGGAAACAGCATTTGTACAAGATTTAGCCGAATATGGCTGTGAACGTAGGAGGTAGTAATAAGTAGACAGGGCATAACTCGAGAATGGTAAATCGTATAATAATAGTTCATAGGTCAAAATAAAGCTTATGATAAGGGGGACCTAAATATGAATAGTTTAGTTATTTAACAATTATGCAACGAAAATATATGTGTAGTATTCGACCATAAATGGGTCCCAACAGTTACCATTCATTATTTTCATCGGGATATAACAGTATTTGGTTGTCATTTTTCACCTTCTTATTGTATTCCTCTCTATCTAGTTATTTATACACTTCTTATAACGTAATTTCAATTGCTTTCTGATGATTGCTTCAAAGTCTGTTTATTCAGGTTTGACTTAGTATGGAACTTCTCAGCAGTGCGCATCCACTACCACACATGTGTGACTTGAACCCAGGACCTTTGGTCTCACGGGAACATTTTACCTCCATACCGCTAAACAAACATCCAGCTTTTGTTGTTTCACCATTCTTATCACTCCTAGTAAACTTGTCTTCGCACAATCAAATTTGTACTTTTTACTCATAGGGTGGTGATTCACTCATAAACTATCTTGATTCGCTTGATATTTTAACATGCCCATATAAATGAAAACCATGAAAATACTTTGTTGTAGACTACTTCTATAGTTGAGATATTAGTAACCAACATTGATGATAAACAATAAACTTCCATTTTCCCTAAGTATCACTGATAGTGCAAACCATTATTTTCCCAGCCAAATGATTTCTATCTTTGATAATAGGGATGAACGATTATTTTATATGAGATTTACGGGAAGTTTAACAGCTCTTGACTAAATTCAGGCTTGCAAGTTGATTAACTAAATTTATTTTGGTATGGGCAATTCGCTAACGGACGACTACTTGAAAGTGACTTGATGATTTCTTATGACACTGGAAGTGTATATTGACAGGGAAAACATAATTTAGGCTGTATGCACTTTGATGAGTAACTTACCGTAAAAATAGTTTACTGTCATGTTCTGAAACAAGCATTTGAAGATGACATATACTGTTATTTATATGTTTACGCTGATAAAAGATCACTACTTAATAACTAGACAGTAGATTAATAGATTTGAGCAAAAAATCATAATTATTTCAAGTTTAGCCTGAAACCAGTTAGTCTTCTATAATATGTTGGCTGAAAATTATTGCACGGTTATTGAGATTCCTGAGCCCCAGTGATCAAAATCTTTTGGGTATGAATGAAGGAACTTAAAAATAAGTGATTGGTTAACTTGCTTCTAAAAGTGTGTGCTCATGTTCACTTGAAGCTTCCCATTGGTATTTAGGACTGTAATTGATCACTCTCTTATTGGCATTTGTGCATACTCCAACTGTTCCATTCGCGTTTCGATATAAAACTAACTTCTGAAAAAAAGAGCGGCATCAATTCTATTCTACCTCCATTCTGCACTCTTGACTGTGAATAGATATTTAGATAAGAAATGCAATTAAATTTCTTTTCAGTTAAGTAGAAATGGAACTGGGAAAAACTGATAACCTTTGGTCGAATATACCACACATCTGTATTTATAATAACGATTGCTGAACCTGAAATCTAACAAAATGTTTAGTGCACAAGAGGAAAACTGGTTTTCATTTTAGTGTTTCCATAAATTATTTCAATATATTGTTTGAGCTTGTAATGATCTTTGTGTATGTGTGTAAACATATGAAAAAATCATCGTTTTAAGATCATATATAGAGTATATATTATTCACGCTAAACGTCAAAGATTGGTTCTCTATGATGGTCTAGCTTAAATCGACTCATGAATTCAACTATTAAATTAATACAATATCACAAAACCACCATTCTGATAAGAATGAATAACAGTTTACGCTTTTGTAAATGAGTAATAATTTAAGAGAAGGAACCGAAGAATATTCATGTATAGCTGATATTTGCAAATAATCATACTTAATACAGTGAATGTGCTTTGTTTCTCTTCAAAAAGGTTTCAACATTGAACGACCTATTGTAGTTCATAATTTAATAAGTAGTGGTTGTGTGATTTCGCCATTTCGTCAGCATTATCCAATTTATGTAGGTGACCAGTATATAATTATGACAAGTAAACATTATCTGCATAGATAATAATGTAAATCAAATATTGTGCTTGCAAAATGCACGTTTAGATTCATTTTACGTAATGCCATTAACAAACATTTTGTGAATATGCGGTAGGACTAAATCATTATCTTAATTTTTCAATTTAATTTCATAATCACAACGCAAATGTTTTTAATATTTGAAATATGAATAATTATCATTCATTAATTCATTACTGTCTACTTGATGCCATACAGTTTACCGTAAAGTAACTTAATCAATTTATTAGTGACATGTGTTGTATATTGTAATTTTTTATTAATCACGTCAGAAATTTATTTATTTGAACACATAAATAATGGTACAAAGGGGCACCGAATACATCTGCCCCACACAAGTAACTTGATGTGTTCGTGGGATGTGATACTACCCGGGTGCCCAGACTGAAGTGGGTAGTTTTCTTAGGGGGTCACTCCTGGAGCCTTCGACCTAAATGTCTGGTCCACAAGGCAATGGAGCAACATCACGAGATACAGTCCTATGGTGGCCGGTGACCAACGATTGGTTCATATGTCATTTGTTCCCTCAGGATCCTGGAGCTAATGTGCACCATTTGTTTGGTGTCAAGGTTTTTAAACTCTACTAGGTGAACCTGCCATATCCATCAACCCGGTTGAACAGCCAAGCATTAGCTTTTTCACCTAGACTAATGGCTACATTGCAACTTGTTTGATAGGATTCGGTCTGCACTAAGAACGACCTGACATACATTACGCTGGTCACCACTGAGTGGTCAATTACTTGTAAATAAATCTCAGTCCTACAGGAGGTCAGTCGCGGCTCGGATGCCTAAGTGGTTACGTCTCTGACTGTGAAGTTGGGTGACACGGGATCTAATCCGTCAGGGCGCTTCAGTTCCCTCAAAATTACAGGCAAACCTTGCTGATGAGTGCCATGTAGCACGAATTCTAGATCCAGGATCTCCTGTTGACTACCTCCAACCGCCATCTTATATTAGTTAATAAAACGCCTGAGTAATAGCATTAAACAATTCGATATTTACCTCTTATTAATAACAGGACAAGCATTTTAATTGCACAGAAACACACTGATTTTGATTAATCCAATTATCTGCATACAATTTCATTATTATGTTACGTAATATTTTAAACTGATCAAGTATGCCATATTTATTGACTATTCGGTACAACTACATGTTCACTGTTTAGTCTCATGATGTAATAAGTCATAATTATGTAAGTCTCCTATATGTTAACTATGAATTCTATTTTATAATGATTACACCAGTGTCCCAATTCAAAGTGTTTTTAATTATCAATAAATGAAATCATGAGTCAATTGAAGCTAGACCACCATAGAAAGCCTGGAATCACTGGATGGCCGTTTCGTCCTAGTATGGGACTCTTCAGCAGTGCGGATCCTATTAACACTCAATTTTTTGAGCTAGTTTAAGCATAAGTTTGTTCCGATCTATCATCTTAAGAGCCAATGAAAGACAATTTATATGCAAAAAATTGTGATGATATTTAAGAAGCAATTCACTACAGTGATATCCCTGATTGATTCTATTTATCAAAATACTATAACACTACAATAGGCTTTATCTTCAATCAGTTCATCATTCACATTTATAATCATCCCCTTCATTATGCATTTTGTGTAATTATTCAAATTATTACCAGAGAGATTGATTATTAAAACAAAAGTTTAGTCAAAATATTTGTATTTTTCTTTTTTAATATTAATTTTGTTTATATTAAAATTGATGTAGATTGTTTACTTGACAATTCACTTATTTTTACATTTAAATAAAACACATTTACCATGACAACATTCTCGATTTTTTATGCACCGACTTCCAGCGCTTAAACACCGAACACATTTTCCTTTGAAACCTTTTAATTGACAAACAGTATTACCGCAACAACGATCGAACACTGTTTTATGACATGTTTCACCAAGTTTTTTACATTGAAATAAACCTGAAATAAGAAACCAAGAATAAAAGTATTACCCTATTGAATTCAATGTTTGACAATTAGCTTTTTAAAATCAAATTTTCATAGATGGATCAAATCTATGGATCTTTGGATTTTTTAAACATTCTAAAATTCCTTCTTATTTTGAAATTATGAATGACTTATCTACCTTATGATGATGTAATTATAATAGTTAAGAAAACATATATATATATATGCTATCGAAATTGACTACGTTTTCATTAATGAAAATATAGACCGACTGTGATGATAAACACTCGAGGTCTTTTTTTATTGTACCTTGTGTGATAGTTGATATAAAGTGTTCTATATAGAGTGAAATTGCTGTGTCTTCCGACAATAAGGATCGTAGATTATTGTATAAACTATGCCAAGTATAATTAAAGGATTATAAGTTTCATCACTGTCGACTTATGTCTTCCTAGTGAACTTGTTATTTTTATCAGCTATTACAAAGAAATGATTTAAATTTGATTGGATTTACTTAAAAATTACCTAACAATGTTCATGGGTAATAACTTGCTTTTATCCTGTTCGGGATTGTAATTAGGATCTATTATTCATTTTAAAGGTTTAAAAATCCCTAAATTGTGAATTAGAACGGTATATATAAGCGAATAACATTGTTTGAGGATCTTATTGAAAATAATGTTGTTCTATTAAATATGTTATTCGTCTTAACGTTATATAGGTGTACTTAATTTGGGCTTAATGATTGAGGGAAATGATATTTTCTCCAGCTAGTAACTAAATACAATTGGTGTTGCTTACTTGTATCTTCCTATTTTTATTTAGGACTGCAATTGATCAGTCTCTTGTTGGCATATGTGCGTTCTGTGTGGACTGCCTCAATATTGCCTTAATTCATAAGGATTATAAGCAAAGATAAATAGTGGCTAGCAGCGGAATCCAAGACGCGTGTTTCGTCCTATTTGAGACTCGTCAGCTGGATGTACCTGCATTTGAGTTATTGTTCACTTTGGGACTCGAACTCAGTACCATTCGCTTCAAGCGCCATTGCGTTATCCACTTAGCTATTGAGTTCAGCTGATGAGTCTCAATTAGGAGGAAATGTGAGTCCTGGATTATACTGCTATCCACTGTCTATTTTTACTTAGTAACTAAATATTTAGAAGAAAGTTCTTACTTAGAGTGGTCTGTTTAAATATTTGCCCTACCTATTTTTAAACTTTATAAATGTTCTTTTTAGGCGTCTTTATAATTCTTTTATTCGTTTCATTATCCATTTTCAATCAAAGAATATACTTACGAACTTCTATTAAATGTTCACAAAAATTTATACACAATCGACATAATTTTCAGAAGAGAAATTTTGTAAAAATAGGAGGTGATTACATTAAACTTTCTAATATCAAATATTTATAATGCGTTATAGATCAATGTTCTATGTGCAAACGTTCTTGTGAACTTTAAATGATGAAAATGGATTCATGAGTCAATTGAAATTAAACCACCATGAAAAACCTAGAAGCACTGGACGGCCGTTTCGTCTTAGTATTGGACTCCTTAGCAGTGCGCACCCACGACCCTGCTCGCTGGACTCGAACCCAGGATCTATCGTTCTCGCACGAGAACGCTTAACCTCTAGACCACTGAGCCGACATCCAAGGGTGTTAATGTCTAACTTTAATCAGTCCACGAATTTTAATTAATTTTAATTAATATTTAAATATGAAAATACAGAATGATTTTTTGTTACTTGTCTCTCTAATTACACCGATTTAAACATGACATAAACTAATTCTTTATTCATGAATTGAAATTTACATTTTATCATGTAGAATACAGTTTGAATCCTCTTGTTACAATGACTTTAGTGACAATTAGTAAAACCATGACTAAATAATCTATCTCTGCTTACAATGCTTGTGATTTAAAGCAATATCAACGCAATTCTCACAGGATACACGTATACTGATAAGAGAGTGATCAAATACAGTCTTAAACATCAATGAGGAGATTCAAACAATGAATTAAATCATAAGTAATTATGTAATCCAGTGATTCAACATAAAAGATGAAGATATATATCTATATATACTATACGTTATTACTATATTGTAAATACCTGGTTTGTTCTAAGTTGATCCTTCATTATAAAGATGACAACAAGACAATGACTTGCTAATTTTAGATCTTTACTCTTTTGATGAATAGCCAACTATTCAAAAGTATATAATGTTAGTTTGAAATTGTATAATCATATGAATACATAGATTGAATAGACTTAGAAACAATGGCTTACCTTCACTAATATGAATATAACTTAATAATGTAATGACCATACTAATTAACATTAACTTATACATTATTCTCTGAGTTTGTTTTCCTTTAATCTTATATAAAACATTCGTTTATATACTACAATGAATGAATTAGATTTTATCACTTTATATTTAATTAGTAATTACATGTTATCAAGGAAAAGTTTCTTTTTTTGTTTTCTTCATTTCACTGTGATATTTCAATGATTCATTGAATAGACTATAATAGTAACAGTAATAAATAAAATGAGACATGTTGACCATAATTGTCTTATAAACTAATCTAAATAGTTCATTCACAGTTTTAATTAAAGAAAAGAAAAAAGGAGAAAAGAAGAAAGAGAAAAGAAGAAGGAGACAATCTTTATGAGTTTGTTCATGTTATATGTATTCATAGTGATAATTTGACAGGTATGACCTCGATTCAATGAATTGAAATGAATCAGAGATTTCAATATTTTACTTTCTTTACAATCATCATTTAAGAGAATTGACTGTTGTTTATTATCAACGAGTGAATGTTTATTTGAATTGAAGATTTATTCATTTGATTCAGTCTGAATTTTATTTATCATGGACTGTATTCATTTGGACTATATTCTTTGTCAATTTATTTAGTTGTTGTATATTACTTAAACTAATTATATAGACGAATTCATAAGTAGAACTAAAGTTGTTGGAATGTATGGAAGATATTCGATTAGTGCATGAATGTATCGTCATATTAGTTACAAGACCAATTTTTAATTAACTGAACTGAAGAAATACAAAGTTTACTGATTAAATTTGACGTTTAACAGTTGGTTTATGTAAATTTGATCATTATTGCCTGGAAATACTTCGCTTGTGATGGAAGCGAATCACTCAAACAAGGAGTTATGATTTATGCTGTTCAAATAATCATCTTCATTTTTTTCATACATTGGTCATTTGAGGTTTAGAATACTAGAAAGACCCGTTAAAAATGGTCTTCAGTAATTTGTTTTCTAGTTATAGACTTTTCATGACTACAGCAAGCCATATATATTTAGTAGTTACAATATTTGGATACGACTAACTGATGGCATAACACTGGGATCCATATTTCATAAGAAATCAGCATTCTCAACATAGAAAAGAATCTATTCGTCCAAATTTTTATTTTTCTAACCGCCTGATTTTACTTTTTCAACAGCTGCGATTTGTTTTTGTGTTTCTGCGCAATTTATTTGTTAAGCATAAGTTTATGTATTCAGGTAAGAATTACACTTCCTATGTAATAACGAATAATAATAATCAAATTGATATAATTGAAATTGATTCAATGTGGTTTAGAACCTACTGACTGCCTATCAACAATCGAATATTATAAATATTGAGTAGTTTTTCCTTAGCAGTTGCGAAATAATGAATCTTTTTCTGTAAAACAACTCTGTTATGACAAATCATTTAGTTGCAGTTATTATAATCCGTACACTGTAGTTTCAAACTAAAAAAACTGATATGAAACCATTCGAAAGGTTATTTCTGAATTACATTTCTAATTATTATTGGCTTTATTCAATATTATATTTTTGGTACAATATAGAATTCTCAAAACAAAGTATTTCAGCGAGTTTCCACTTCTTACTTCTTCATCGATCCTGATGATAATTATTGACTGATCACTAGTTAGATATTGGCAGTTTAGAAGTCAACAGCTGAATAATGTTCATTATTTTGAATGTATATTGCTAGCAATCACGATGTCTCCGATTGTAAATTTTGTTAACATGTACAGCGAAAGGTCGTAAACTTTTCACAAATGCACCCAAATAGATTATGCGACTAACAGGCATAATGATGTGTTAAAACAAATAAGGAAATAGAAAACTTATTGAAATATCTAGATGGCAGGAATAGGTAACCCAGATATTCAAACAGGCCGCCTGGGTATGTTGCTGAACCTTGCTTCTTTTGAGTTTACAGAAAAAGTTGAATAAAATAAGTATCACTAGATTAGCATTTTAGACTTAAAGTGATCTTTCATGTATAGAAATAATTCATGATTCAATTAACATTTCAAACTCATTATATGAAATACTTTAATACTCCCACTAAACTTACAAAGCCTTTAGTAAATTGATAGGCATAAAATAGTGAACACTTTTATTGATTACTGAACATGTTTCACATCTTTGATTTAATACCTTTCAATGATATGATGTTCTTATCATGTACAAAAAAACTATATAAAGAGGGGATGATTTAAAGTCAAATCTACCCATTTAATTACTAAGGTGATAATATTCAGCTTTATACAGTCCTAATACAAGTAAATAAGTATTTTTAAAAATTCAAATAGGTAAATAATATTTATTTATCTATTTAAACACATATACATTGGCACAAGCAGCCACCAAACAGATATGCGCCACATAAATCATTAGAATTTGTGAGGGCCGGGTTACTGTCCGGGTGTCCAAACCGAAGCAGGTGGTTTGCTTAGGGAGCCACACCCCTATTGTGTTTAAAAATATCACGATAATAATGTATTATGTTGTTCTGTTTTATGGTGACATTAGCTTTAAACAGTAGTATATCCGATGAAAATTTATTGTTAAACTGAATAATATAAGGTTCCGATGGCTTCATTTTATAATATTTACGTCAAGATTTCAGATATATGGTTCCACATGATCTAACATTTAACAATTATACTGACGAGAATATCATTTAAGAATTTAAGATATATGCATTAATGATGGATATTTTGTATTATCGTGACTGTTTGAGACGAGATACAACTGGGTTACACAACAGAAACAACAGAATGAAATAATAATTAGCGGGAGTTGAATGGAATCAAATAAAAACGATTATTCATATTCTAATCGTTTAAACTACTCAATAGTAGAATCGTTGATTTATATCTAGTCAACAGAACAACATTATTAGATACGATGTACAATTTAACCCATCTCAGTGAATGCAGTCAAGATCATTCAAGAGTTTAGGCATCCACATATAGATTTTTACTACTTTAAATCATGTTGTAATAAAGGAGAACAAAGGTGAGGACAACCGATTACAATTAGCACACAACTACATAGTTACTTGATAAAACAGAAAAACCATACTTCAATACTTCATTTACAAAATGTTCATTAATCGTCTCGGACTGTATTGTTCCTGCATTTCCATACCAATTAATTTCTATTCCCGTTCTTTCCTCCTTGATCTTCTCAATCTTCTGTTGCCAGACATTTTATTCCTGATTAGTGTTATATACTACTTATGTCTATATAAGTAGTACACACCACAATATGTATATCATGTAAATAATGATAAAATCAATTCAACTCTTAATTATTGTAAACATTCTGTCAAACTAGAAAATCATAAAATGTTACCTTTAATTAAAATGTAAACAAAATGTGTTGTTTTACTCATCACTTTACAGACTAACTGCACTATGATTAAAAAGTGAAAATGTATTTTTTGTAGGTTGAACCGTTTTGTTTTTCTTTTTAAAACTTGTTACAGTTACTTTATAGTAGTTATTTATTTGTTTATTTTGTTATTGTTGCCATGTGTGTATAAAGGTAGTTGAATGGAGATGGTGAAGTGAGTGTTTACAAAAACATTTAATTGTTTTCAATATAGAAACAACTAATACGCGTTTGTAAATCTAATGGCCATAAAATAATACTCATTGCAGCTCACAGTATGTCATTATGTTAATTGTAGAAGAATAAGTTCAGAAGCTACTTTTGTTTCACTTCATATATATATATATATATATATATATATATATATATATATATATATATATATATATCATGACTTTGTATGAATTTACAGTTCTGGGGATGATCGAATATCTGTTAAGATAAATGGAATAAGTTAGAAAGTTAAATATTCTAAATGAACAAGTAAGTAAACAAATTAAAACCTTTATACATGAAAGTGCAATTCAACGGGAATGTGGCAAGTGACACTCTGAAATATAGGTTAACTAAAATAATCACCAGGACATTCTACGCGGCCAATCTTGCGTTGACCTTCTCTTGTCGACCAGCGATGTCTACTCAAACGAAGGATAAATTACCTGAGTTGGCCTCTTCTATGTGCATTTACAAATTCAGCTGCTCCTGTGGAGATAGCTATATAGGGCGTACTACCAGGCAACTTAACCAATGAATGAGTGAACATCTACCAACTTGGTAGCAGTCATGCTGTGGGTAAATCGAAATCATTTGGAGTTATCTATCGTATACCTCCATTATTTCCCGACGAAGTTCGTTCCCACCCTAAACTTAAGGCATATGTTCACTTCAAGCAAAAACGACATTGTAAAAACAAGAATGTGAGAAACGTCAAAGTAGATAGGTAAGTAGCTTTCTCTTTGACTGTGTTATATTGTTAAGGACTCTCTTGATTAGAGATTTTAAGAAAGTGAGAAAGATGTGAAATCACTTACACTTTTCATTACGGTAAGGAATATATTCTCCTAGAAACAACTAGACTGAAACAACCGATAAACTTGTGAAATTCACTAATTGTGTGAAAGCAATGTGCAATTCGTAACATGACTTTTTGCAGCATGAGTTAGTAAAAACTGCAAGGGAGCTCAAACGAATCAAGATTATATTCGTAGTTGCTTGCCTACGACCCATGGCATAGAAGTAAAGACACTAATATGATTATGACTTATCAACGCTCGCTTCAAATACACACAGAGAATAAAAGAATACAGATCTCCAAGTATCCTACAAAAATTTTCGAGAAGATAAATAAGAAAGAAGACAATAGTGGATTGTTGGAAAAGTAAATTGGAATGTATGCAGAGGTCAGGAAATCTGAGATTTCCAAGCTAGTTATTCAGAAAGACAGGAGCGTTTTACGTTGAGAGATGCTATCTCTGTTCAACTGAGTGCCTTCATACATGCGGTGAATAACCAATACGTTTACTGTACAGTTGAATATCACATGTTTCCTAAACCTACCATAGTAATACACAACTTCATACTGCGTACTGTAGTTTTGAGTTCTTGGTCGTGTATTTTTGAAGTTCTGAACTTATTGGGATAACTATTATTTTTTTATAATATTTCAAATACATGATACAATGGCGAGGATTAAAACTACTAGTCAGTATGACTGACGAATATTGACATGAATACCTATTTCAAAGAAATATTCGTTGTCTAAAGTAGAAGTATCATATTAAATGTTTCCAACTATTACCGAGATACATGAAAGATTTATTTGTTCAGCATTTAATCGGTTTACTAAGTCTCCAAGCTAAATAATCTTTTTCATTAACCCAAACACTGAATACCTGTGCCATCTTCAAAATCAAGCCTGAAGCATTTTACGATAAATTCATCTCACTCGATCAACTGCTCATTTACTTATTGTTTTAACTACAACATATATTCGTCTTTTTCTAAACGCAGAACTTGTGGATAAGTTATGTGGTCACCGCAAGATTGTTTCCTAGAACGGCTAGAGATGAATTTGCAATTATAAGTGCCTTATAGGTTCTTTCGTCGTGCAGCGACGTGATGGGCTACACAAAACAGGAGGCGGGGTGGTAATACACATTGTCAGTCGCTTCAAATCTTCAATGCCACGTATTAGCGAGTAAACCGAGGTGGTAGAATCATGCCGGTGTTACTTAACTGCGAACGGAACAAAGTACTTGATTGGAGGAATGGACCGGCACACACAAGTGATAAGACCCAAAAAGATGAGACAATGCAAGCAATACTAAAGTTGCCACACTTCTGATCTGACGAAATATCACTAACTGGAGGCTTCAACAATCTGTCCCTTAATCTCAGCAAGCGGGATACATCCCCTACAGAATGGTGTGACAAACTGATTATCACAGTCATTGAAAGTCCAGCACTGACTGGAAGTGTAAGTGACTCCACGTGATGGGAGATGAACGGGAAACTTTCAAACTTACATTATTTACTGACAAATGATTAACTTCTAGTTGACGGTGTCCATGTTCACGCATCGATATTATATAGTGACCACGTAACATTTATGTTATTCAAAGAGCGAAATGCGAGAGATCCAGCCTGTTACAGACTAGTCTCATTACTTAGAATACTGTCGAAGGTAATGGAAGAACTGATCAATGAGGAAATGAGGGAGTGCGTAGATAAAAACAACATATATGAGGCCTAACACGGGTTTAGGAAGGTCATCATGTACGTGCGATCTCCTCACAGCATGAAATAGCTGGACGACCTACTGGGACCGTATCATAACGGTTCATGTAATATTCCTCGATCTCACTTAAACTTTCGACACTGTTCCTCATGTGCTTCTCATAACGAAGGTTGAAAAGATGAGTTTTATTGACCCACCCTTAACGTAGCTCAAATATAACCTAGAGAACAGGACGTTTCGCATCAAGGTAAATAGAGCGCATGAAAATTAGGGGGTCATGACATGAAAATTTTAGCAGGGAACAATCTACGGTCTACCTCTGTTTTAGAGCTTTGTTAACGATTTACCATATGAAATTAGCTCAGTGGCACTGATCTATACGGGAAACGCATAGATATGGAGACCAATAAAAAACGAAAAAGATTCACGTGAGCTTTGGAAGGACCTAACAACTAGATGGGAATGGGGAGTAGAAAGTGGGATAAACTTAGCCTTTCGAAATGTCATGTCACGAACATTCTGTGTCATTTGATAGAAAGCACTTACAGTCTCCGTGAAAGTCAGCCCATAATTGTCCCCTCAGAGTGTGATCCTCGGTTCGCACCCTCAGAAGGCATAGACACCAGTTCAAAGTGCTCAGGGGATGCAGTCAAGGCAAACGCAACTTCACTTCATGCGTAGACAACTTTGGACAATCACGTCCGAATTGTTCCTAATTTTCCTTTAAACATACTCACAGCTTCGACTGCAAGTACACAGTGTTATTGTACCCTCCTAGAGGCAACATTTTAAGCATTGTGCATCGAGGAGCAAAATATTCGGTTTTCTCTATCACCTGAAGTAACTACAGCCATCTCAGTGGATAGCCTCGCAGGAACCCTATCGCCTTGAGACAACTCACTCGAATTGCAAAATATACTAACAACCATTCTGATTAAAATTAGTGTAGTGAAGTGACCGGACTATCGACCATTAAACATAGACAAATACCCTAAAACGTAAAAAAATCAACGAGAGGACCAAAAATTTAACCGCTTTATGCACGGTCATGACAAAGATTTTACATGTTGGATGTTGAATATTAGAAATGTTGCGGAATTGTTGATCTCCTCGTTATATTAGGGTCAAACGTCAACGTATAGACAGAAGTGGATCACTTCCACTTCGTTTAATTTGTACGAAGTTAAAATTTACGACCGTTTAGAAAACAGGTTCGAATTTACTATGTTTAAATATTCAAAAACCTTTTTTTCACACTAATCATGTAGTAATACATGTTTCTGATCCATGGAAATTGAAACGAAAGGGACATTCGTGTCGTCCACTTTGTGAACTTAAGTTCTTTCGAACATGTGTGTTAGTGATGTCTTTTGAGAAGTGGACGGTATATTCCTTTCATCATCTTGTGTACCCATATATTCTGGTTTCTCTTTTTAATTTTTCTAATTTCGAGAGAAAAGTCAGTGCATATTTCAGTAAAAACCCCACGGTCAGCATGAATCTAAAAAATACTGCTCGCGTTGTCTTCTGAATTTTGCTTAAACAACTGCCGAAACTCATTGTTGAAAAAATTTTCCTCAAAGTTTAGAGAACGAGATTTGTTATATATATATATATATATATATATATATATATATATATCTGATATAATCACGGCTATAGTGTTTTTCTGGTCGAAAGCATGGTCTTAAATGTTATCAGTTGAGCGGTTGCTCAATTACTTAAAAGTTTATTAAATTATGGTTTGAACTTGCAAATCTCGTTTTTATTTTATAGTTGACGTCAAATTTTACTTATGTGATAGTTTTACTGCGGAATTAATGTAAGACAGTGGTACTTTGACACTTATGTACAAGATTGCCAGCTAAATGAATGTATTGACTTGTTATTGGGTGAGTATTGCACTAATCAAATACTGCTTACAACAGTTAATTCGAGTTAAACTCTGACTGAGATCTTACAAGACTACTCTATGATGGTGGTGGTAAATGTTGGCTTAGTTTCTTGACCCGTCCCATGTATACATTACTCGATAATATATAAATGATCACTTCAGCAAATGTATAATGATTTGTGTATTCTTATAGTTGAAGATTTGAATTAAACAGTATTACTGCTTCTATTTAAAAAGGCTAGTAGAGCGTGTGTAACTGATTGCAGTAGTATGGTCTGGAACGCTATAAGTATACCTTGTTCACGTTTCTATTAACATGATTCATTCTAATCGTCAATCACTTCATGGACTGATTCTATGTTTTGGTTTAGCCACTAGTATCGTTCTTCCAGTCTTCATTTTATTATTTATTTGAACATATAAGTATTGGTACAAAAGGGCACTGAATGCATATGCGCCACACAAGTCACTTGGTTTGTGTATGGGCTGTGATACTGCCTGGGTGCCCGGACCGAAGCAGGTTCCAGTCTACTACACCAGATGACATCCCTCCGTCGAGGTAGACAGTGGTTAAGCATACGTAACACATGTCCCTACCATCTCAGTTGATGAAGGTTTACTCCTTCATCAGTCGACTTCCCATCTTTATCAAGTATTCTACTCCTAACCCAGGCATTACTTAGTCGGTGGTCCCAAGATACACGTGCCATGCTTCAAGGATACACGATCAAATACTAGTAACCTCTGTTCTTAATGCCCGTGTTTCATATCTGTAATGTAGAACGGAGCAAACTGCTGCTCTGTAGACTCTCCTTTCCATTAGAAGACGTACATCTGGTCTACGCAACAAGTGACCCAACTTGGCAAAAGCCAATCGAGCCTTTAAAATCCATGCCGAGATTTTATCAGGCACCAGATCATCAGTACTGATGAAACTCCCCAGATGAGTGAAGCGACCGGTGTGTTCAACTTCACTCCCTATCACTAGCTCAGGTGGTGACACAGGTCATTCCTGAAGTAGCATTTTGCATTTGAAGGAAGAGAACTTTACCCCAAACATGTTTACATTGTCGCTTAAGGTGGTTAGAAGACTGCATTTTGTCAGTGATTTCACCAAACAGATTTATATCATATACGTATTCCAAGTGAATCTACTGGTAGAAGATCAACTCCTGAAAAGTTAGACGATGGAAGTCTTATCTCTAAAAGCACGTCCATGACAAAGTTAAATAAATATGGAGAAGGTGGACAACCCCAACGACCACCACTTGAAGTGACCGACTCACCATAAGATTTGATTCGACCAATGGTGCTCCTTTGGTATGCCTTTTAGTGACAGATACTGACATAGAACCTGACGACCAGCGGAGTCGTACGCTGCCATAAGGTTAAAGAATACAACTATAGTAGGACGTCGAAAAGTACACCTATGTTCAAGAATCTGCTGGAGGGAATATTCGGTCCGTACATCCATGTCCAGGTCTGAAACCAGCCTGGTTTTCTTGGATTCACTCTTCACGGGCTCTAGTTAGGCGTCGAAGTATTATTGAGACTAATATTTTAGACACTATATTAGTTAAACTGATTCCTGTGGTTGTCATGAGAGGATTTTTGTTCCTTCTCATAGATTGGAACGATCAGCGATCGAGGCCAGTCAGATGGGATTATATCCAGCTCCCAGATTCTGGCTAAGATCTCAGTCAATCCAATATTTGAAAGTTGGCCACCAATCTTGTAAGTCTCATGGGTTAATCCATCAGATCCTGTCGCTTTCCTACGCTTCAGGTTACTTATAGCCTTTTCAACTTCACTAAGAGTTGGAGGCATTACATCAGTTTGTCATTCAGGTTGATTGAAAATAGTTGGTAACTGAAGTGTGGCTGTCAGGATCTCAAGGAGCATGTGTTCCAGCCAGTGTAGCTCGGTTGAGTCGTCACAATTGACAAGCTCAATCACCACGTCAAGGTGGCAGCTACGTTCGGGCAGTATCGATCACAGCGTGTCGAAGATACGTCCCCTTCTAATTTTCTCCTGAATGATCAGTCTCAATATTCCGTTATACATACCTTTTCGGACCATATTTCCAATGCTTACTCTTTCTCACTATCACTGATGCTATTATTGTTTTGACTTTCTTTGCTATGGATCTTGTTAATTGTATTTCGCTCTAACGTAGTACGGTAACATGGACTAATTTCAGGCTGTGCAGTGATCATGAGTGAGGTAGTAAACGATGACAAAGAGCAGACTACAGCATGATGCTGATCTCGAAACTTACTGATCTTTAGCATGTTTACAGAAGTTTAGGCTAATAAATTTAAATCTTTAAAAGGTTTCGAATCAGTATTTCAAGACCTCTAGTGGTTATCTCTCTGAATCGAACACAGTACAATAAGTTTGTTCATGTTAGTCTTAGAAATCATACTACTTTTCAGTAACTTTACTTGAATTTTTTCCATGTTTATTCAAAAATTTCCTCATTTTTGTTGACTTTTCCGTCTTGTTTTTTTAATTTGTTCTTTCTCTACTTACGTCTTTGTTTATCTGGGCGTTATATTTATCTGTGTTTAGTTCTGCTTTTATGTTTTGGATTTTGAAGTCTTGTGTGTTTGTTTGGTAACTAAAGTATCACATATTGTCAAACTCTTACTTTTGAAACCTACACATGAATATTAGCGTAAATAACTAGGGTTTTTATTATTGCCTGGATAAAAAATTACCTGAGATTAATCGCCTAAACTATGTTATTCAACTATTGTTAGAAATTCTAGTCAACAAATAGGTATGATTTTGATTATACTATTAATCATACGTCTTGAGTTCAAATAAGGGACCTCGAGCTTGTAAGGTTTATTTGTATTGTTTGTTAAAAGCTCAGTTTTTATAACGTCTTTGATAGCGATAACTGTCTATCAGTAATGAAAAGTCAGTCTATCAATCATTTTCAAATAGAGGTGTTTGTGCGAGTGTCAGTTGTATTTCAATGATAGATTTGTGTGTCATGGATCTCTCGTGGAAAATGTGGGTATTTAGTGTGTTTTTCGTGTTGTGTTTTCCCTTGCATCTCTTACAAACAAATTACTTTTCCAACAGTAAATTCCTCTATATTTTGGACATATAGATTCATATTAGATGATGTGTTTATAATCCATTTTTTGTAGTGTAGTATCTCCTTTAAATACTTCTGAATTGCTTAGACAGTAGGATTATTGTCTTTTCCCCTTTTAATTGGATTCCAACTGGTCTATGGGTCAAAAGCAACCAAAATTAAAACAAGATGCTGTTGAAGAACTACTAAACCAAACATCTTTTACGGAAACTGAAATTCAAGACTGGTATAAGGGGTTTTTGAAGGTTAGTTGAGTTGGACATGTTATATTGCTTCCGCATTTTCAGTTGTTTAGCGATATTAGTATTTGTTTTATCTCCTAGCGTTTGCCTCAGTTCAGCAGAAGCAAACATCTAATGTGATGGTACCACCACGATTTCACGTAACTTCGACTGGGTTGTTCGTATTTCATGTTCATCCTAAGGTAAATGACTGAACTTCCACTGTATTACGTCAACGAATAAATATATCTGAACAATAGGATGAATATTTGCGTAATATCTGTAGTCATCTTGTTTTAGACATCTAATTCTTTGCAACACAAACATAGTAGCTCCATGTGATTTTGAAAGTAGAATACTGCCAGTAATCGTCGCATAAAATGTGTGGCTGTAAGTTAAGTACATAAACCCTTATTTTACAAATGCGTTACATTGTTTTACTGAAAAGGTTAGTTATATATGAGCTAAAATATTATGTGGTTAATCATTGAAATATTTGATGGAACTTTAATAATTGAAATTTTAACGCTTATGAAATTTCTCTGTACAATGTAGTAGTTTATCGGTTAAATCACTAAACTTTTAACCACTAAGTTACATTCTTGACTCCTGTTCTAATTGCTTTGGTCAAGCACTGCTACTTACTCTCATATAAAATTATAACTAGAACTTGAGTAAAGTAAAATGTTTAGTTGGTGGGTTACGATGTCACGAATATTGAGTTCGACGTTAAAGTTATGTTTCACTAAGGACTTATTTAGTCGACTTTCATTATTTTCTGATTTCTTTCAACCACTCACCTTAGATTTGTTTGAGATTTCGTTCAGCGTAAATTGTCATATGTTATTACTTATAGCACAGTGTTAAATGTGGCAAAACATGTTCAGAGTGTATTTTAGCATTCTACCAGAAACTACACTGGGTTTTAAAACTTTGATTACTAAGATGAAGAACCAAAATATTTCTGTTCATGTAAGACGAATTTGGTGTTAAAGCCCGGATTAACAATTTTGAATTAACACGTCAATAAACTATGAAGATCCCCTTATGGTTTAGTAAAGACAACAATTTGTGCTGACATGTAGGGAGTCACAACGAACGAATATAACCGTAATTTACACATGTTATGCCATATACAACTGTTCAAATGTTCAATAATCATTTTTCCAATCAAAAAAATATTCCAGTTTTCTATTTATCACTTTGTATTTTTTGCTTTTTACAAAGGAATGCCCAACTGGTTATTTATCTATTGATGATTTTAAACGTGTTTATACAAAGTTTTTCCCATACGGTGAATCTAGTCGGTTCGCAGAGTATGTATTTCGTACATTTGATCAAAATCATGATGGTTTGATTGACTTTCGAGATTTTCTATCCTCATTAAATATAACTAATCGTGGTGATTTATCACAGAAATTACGTTGGGCATTCACGATGTATGATTTAGACAATGATGGTTATATATCAAAACAAGATTTAATTGAGGTTCTTACTGTAAGTCTTTGATGCTGTTGTTTTGTTTTCTACATTGTCTTTTCGTTTCAAGATTAGGTTATGGAAATTAATAATTTAGAACACTCAGATAACATAGTTCTGTTTGGTGAAGACACTGATAAAATTCAGAGTATCTTGGTACCACTGAGCAACAGTGCCAGGATGTTTGGGTTACATTTCCGTCATTAAATACAAATTGCTGCTTCAGAACTTACCTGCGTCAACACCTGAACTAAGGATAAGAAGTAAAATAGCAGGACGCGTCGACAACTTTACTTATCTTGGAAGTCCGGTCAGCTCTAATGGGTCGGTATTTGACGAAATCTCTGCACTGATTAAAAAACTCGTTTGGTTTTTACAGACTTGCGCCACCTATAGTGAAGGCGAGATATCCGTCTATCAATTAAGGGGCGAGTATACTCCGCAGCAGTTTGTTCTGTTTTACTTTACGGCTGCGAAACGTGGCCATTAAGGGTAGAAGATACTCGTAAGCTAATAGCATTTGATCACGTATGTCTTATAAATATTGTTCTCATCTGCTGGGATCACCGGGTAACTAATAGTGAGGTGTTAGACGCAGGTTATTGTAGAATGATGGTAAGTCAGGTGATGAGATTGCGAATCTTCATTGACTGAAATGGTTGAGCCACGTATTACGGATACCCAACCATCGGTTACCACGGTGCGTAATGCCGACTAGTGTTGGAGACGCGTGGTAGAAAGTTAGGGGCAGCCAAACTAAAACGTGACATCAGTCCATAAAGTCACTAACTTCTAGTCTGAGCCATGTTGGTAGATGCAGACTACTTGGTTGGGGTCCGCATGACTATCGTAACCAATGGAGGAGACTCTGAGTGACATGGCTCAGAATCGATCACAATGGCGTAGGTGTATGCACACTCTGTCTTTGTTTAGACCGTGAAATTAAAATTACTTTATATCATTCTTTCTACGAACAAATTCTTTCCCCCCATATTATATTCTTATATAAAATCCCTTCTTACTACCATCAAAGTAACTGCTTCTACGAATTTGGTGTTCATCTTGTGCTAATGAGGTAGGGCAACTTGGACTGATGCATATATGTACGTTGTCCCAAGGTGTAGCCGACTCACTGAATTTAAATGGACCAATGCATAGCAACTTGTTTTTCAATGAAGTCGGGATATTTTTATCGCTGTATAGCCCTGCAATTTTTCGTGGTTAAATTATTGGTCTTTAGCTCCTGCGTTGTAAATATGCAGTACCGGAATCCAAATTTTTGGAATCCTTTCCTTTCTTTTAGTAATAAATTCCCACAAATGGGTGAGGAATATCTGTTGTCACTTTTAGTGTGACTGGCTCTCCGTTTGGTATGATGACCTGTGAGACCTAAATATTATTAGGTATTTAATAAAAAGATTTAGTCAGCCAGTCAGTAACAACGTAACACTTCGTACGCACGTACATCAGTTCGAGTTGCCATACCACATTAGCACAGAGATGCAGTTGTCGATTCAAATCTCGTAGTGGTAGAGGTAATTAAATTATAAGCAGTAATCGGGAAGATTAGGGTTTGAAGATGTTATTCAAGGAGTATAATCGAGTAAAATAAATTTGGAAAAAGAGAAAGAAAAGGACATGAAGAAATCGGGAGATTAGAATTTGGGAGAACACTAAGAGCGAATACACCTGCGTCATTGCAGACTATTTTGAGCCAAATCATTCAAGGTCTCTAACCACCGGTTGCTGTCATCTCGTGGACCCAAACCAATTAGTCTATACCTATTAAAATGACTAAGTTCAGTTGTGACTTCACGGAGTGGTTCCATGTTTTGACTTTGCCGTCCCTAGCTTTCTTCCATCCTACTCCTCCTACACTATAAAACATTGCTCGTCGGATCAGTCAGTGGTTGGGCATACGTAACACATATCTCCCAGCCATCTCAACTGACGAAGTTTCACTACTTCATCAATTGATTTGCCATCCTTACCTAGTACCCGTTTCCTAACAACTACATTACTTACTCAATAAAAAAATACCATTGTTAATTATTATAAAAGTCATAATTAAGCTTAAATTAAATCCGTCTGGTTGACAATGGATAGGATGTACTGCCAATAAAAACAATTTAAACCAACGCATTCACTAGACCGTTACATGACTAATCGTGTGTTTTTTATTGTCAGTTAAGGCGTCTACGTGGCCTCAGTTCAAAGTGACTGTGATTCTTCCTATTCCATAATGGTAGATTTCGAGTGTAACCATAATTATTTAGAAAGTAACTGATGGTTTACGTGTTATCGAAGTATGTGCTCAACATGTCTAGGTGTACCCACTTTTCTCACAAATATATAGACATATAGCATACTGGGAAACAAATCATCTCCGGTTGTAATTACATTCGAACTTGAATCTAGACTAGTGATGACTAAAGCTCATTGCTACTAAGAAGATAGTCAGTGTACGAATTGTTGACTTTTACATGCATCTTGATAAAATAATAACCAATAATACAATTTTTTAAAAATCATTATTATTATTGGGCAATAGATTTAAGAATAACAGATTAGTCAGATGTAAAAAATTGTTCATTGATGTGGTTGCCAGTGTGAGTAATAACTTCAAACCACATTTATTTTAATAGTGTTCTTCCATATGTAGTCAAATACTCCTTGGTCTCCAATGGTTCACTAGCCGAATGTTATTTCGTGATCAACACTGTCTTCGAAATCAAACTAACCAAATAGACAAAATCTTTTTTCCTTTCTTATTACTAGTCCGGCGCTTTATCCGGGTTGTTGGATATGAAAGATTCACCTAGGGGAGTTGGAAAACCCTGATTCCAAACCAATGGTACACATGGGTTCCAGTATCCTGAGGGACCAAATAGTGTATAAACCGATTATTGATCACCGGCTACCATGGGACTGCATCTTCTGACGTTGCTTCACTGCCTTGTGGATCAGACCTTCAGATCAAAGGCTTGGGGTATGGCCCTCTAGGGAAACTGCCTATTTCGGTTTGGACACCCAGGCAATATCACAGCCCTCACACAAATCAAATGAGATTTGTGTGGCGCCTATCTATATGCTGCCTCCGTGTACATATGTTTGTGTTTAAATAATAAATAAATTAACTAAATAGTAGCCCAATTAGAATACGAGAAGAGTTAGACAATTTACCATCTGTTAAGGTTTAAAAACTCGCGTGAATGTATAGGTCATCTACATGTCCACAACTCATTACGACTAGGAAATCTTAATCTGTACGTTTTTGGTGCAGTAATAGAAATATAATTAGTTAATTCTAATTTATGAGTGAGTAAAAGGTATGCCAATTGTTAATGAGTTAAATAAAGGCTTACAATCAAGGCAACTACTTAATTAGTACATATCAGAAAAAATGTACATAAATATTTTAATTTGTTGGGAAATAATTTTCAAAGTTTCACCTTTTCTAACAAAAATGACCTAGTTATGTGGAGTTTGTTGGGATTTCGTTTCATTTGGAAACCAGTGGAAATTAGGGAAGCCTACTGCAAAGTTGTTTCATCTTTGTTTAATACTTCTCGTCAGTTTATGTATTCGCTATCCTCCTGATACACAAAATCAAGCTTCGTAAATTCATGTCTCGTGGGTGAAACAATACGATTCCACTGTTGAGTTAAAACGACTCTTTTTAAAGGTCATTATGTAATACTTAATATCATGTTCAGTTACAAAGAATCATAGATGAACATATTTTGTTTATGCTTATATATACGATTTTTAAAAGCTTTTCAAATAAATTATATATATATATATATATATATATATATATATATATATATATATATCTGTATTATATTATTTTTAGGCTATTTATGCAATGGTTGGCTCTGCTGTTGAATTCAATGTTACAGATTCTACACCGGAAAAACGAGCAGAGAAAATATTTCAGTTGATGGACTTAGATAGAGATAATCGTTTGTCATTAGATGAATTTATAAATGGTGTAAAATGTGATAAATTATTAATGCGTTTGTTGACTTTCAATACTCATTCGTTGCATCATCAACATGCAGATTGTCTAATGAATGGATCAAATGATAACAAAGGATGGTCATGTACAGATACCCATTATAATCATCAATCTAATGATTATGATAATACAGTCAAACCAATTGTAAATCAATCATTTCCCAAACAGAATGTTATTCCTGATACCTCAGAGTCTTAAAACAGATTCATCTTTTTGCATATGAAACTATATATATATATATATATATATATATATATATATATATATATATGATTTGTAAAGGTAATTATCTTGATAAATCTGATCTTTAAAACTTCTTGATATATTATTATACTAGATTGTTTTCAGAATGGGAGTTTGTGAGGATTGCAGTAATCTCAATAGTTAAATTCATAAGTTGATCTAAGCTAAACTACTATTGAGTGGATGCACACTGCTGAGGAGTCCCGCATTAGGAAAAATCGGCCATCTAGTGCTTTCAGGTTTTTAGTGGTGGTCTAACTTAGATCGACTCAATTATTCAACTATTAATGTTATACTAGATGTTTATTATTTTATCAGTACATATGTTATAAGGTTATTTGATTTTTACGCTCATACATACTTGTAACTTCTGAAATTTCTCTTCATGATACAAAAGATAGTTTTCTCTCATGATTAGTTAATTCAAATAAGAATAAAGAAGTGTTGTGTATTGCCTTGTAATTTCATAGGCTTCTGAAAGAGGTACTGTTATGAGTACTAATTAATGTGCTCAGTAGGTTACCTAAGTTATAACTGTAGTCTGTGACATGTCGCAGATGGACTACTTTACACTTTGAAGTGTTAAAGGTAAGTCCGTTATCGTCTGTCCAACTTTAAAGTCGAGTCAGATCCTCCTGAAGTGCCTGTATATCATCTTGGTTGCATATCTCTCCTCCAAGTTTCACGCCGTCGGCAAAAAGTAATAAGTCTGACGATACCTGTTGAGGAAGATCGTCTATATAAATCAAGAAGAGAAGAGGTCCTAGTACTGAGCCCTGGGGGACCCCACTAGGACATTCCATAGCCTGAGATAAAGTGAAATTAACCCTGACCTTAAAATGTCAATTTTTCAGGTATGAAGTGAGTCAATCGATTAGAGGTGGTCTGATACCCAATCGTTTGAGCTTATTGATAAGACATGTATGGTTAACCTTATCAAAAGCTTTTGAGAGGTCTAGGTAGATGATATCAACCTTCGCCTTGTGATCAACGATGCTTGTCCATCTGTCCACCACAATCAGCAGGTTGATAATACAAGAGTAACTTTTCCTGAAACCATGCTGTTGGGGTGAGAAATTCAAGGACAGTAAATAGTCATTTATACCATCGCATATCAGGGACTCCATGATTTTTGAGGGTATGGAGAGAAGAGACACCGGTCGGTAAATTGAAGGTTCGCTGCGTCGACCTCCTTTGAAAATTGGTGTGATGTGAGCCAGCCTCCAATTTTCCGGTAGTTTTCCTCGACTTGGCGAGTGTGAGAGCATCACGCTAAGCAGCGTTGCCAAGATTGAGGCTGCTCCCTTCAGTATGGTGGAATGGACCATGTCCGGGCCAGGAAAAGTGTCTAATCGAAAGTGCCGCAGTTTCCGGAACACCATGTCGGCGCTTAGGTTCACTTCGGAAAGTCCTGAGGAGTTGCAAATAAAACTGTCACCAGTAAAGTTAATGTTGGTCGGTTGAAATGTCTGAAAGTAATGTTCAGCCAGAACGTTAGCGGCGTCGCCATCGTTGTTGGTCGGGCCGTTAAGACCTGCCAGTTGGGAATCCCCAGTTTTGGCTTGACGAAGAGAAGCTGCATAACGGAATAAGCTTTTAGGATTAGAGGCAAATTTGCCCATAAGCTTTGTCTGGTACTGAAGCCCATCTTCTCTTATAGCCTTCGTGCATATGTTCCTGATATGTTTATATTGCCTGTACGCTCCGTCGTTGTCAGTTCGTTTGTATTCCGCTCATATCCTAATTTTCTGTCATTGCGGAACAAAGACATCCCAGGTAATGCTAACTCACGGTCCGAGAACTGAGAAGATATCCAGGTTTCAGATATTCCTTAGCATTACTAAGTCCACGTAGTTCATCCAGTTTGTTTGGTAGACTCGTGGCGTTCATATATAAGCAGTTTATGCTTTCAATTTGGAACGCGTGAGCTTCTTGCTGTTTTTCTGTATGAGCCTTACGTGAATGGATAGGTAGCCCACCTATATGAGGTTTGCCGAGGTGGTAGGCCTTGTCCTTTACACGTTTTTTATCGTCTAGACAGTCCACAAGTGGAATGATCAGCTCCAACTTGCCTTTGTGTTTTGTCCTAGCTGCATATGGCCTATCCGGGTGCATGTGGATTCCAGGTGGCAGTCGACCTCTGTTGGCACGAAATGCTTCCAGAGTTGCAGCCGCCATATGGGAAGATGGGAGGATTATCTACTTTAGACGGGGTCTAGAATCACCATCCTTCTTGGCTTGTCTCGTCACATGCTGAGTCAGTATGTTTTTGAGCGTCAAAGACTGTTTGATGGATTTTCATTCCCTGATGTCAGTCTTTGATTGAGTAGGGTCCGTATTTTCCGGTATACCTTGCACGATTATATTCTTCCCGCGGAAAACTGATCGCGAGTTTCCTTGGGGATGTTCCGGATGAGATTGAGCTCAGAATACTGTATGTCAGGCAGTATTCTTACATTCCCATCTGATTTCAGTAAATGACTCGCTAGTGAGACATTTTCTACGTCGGTAGCATTCTTAAGTGTTACACGAAGTAGCCTCGGGTGATTTTGATGCTTAGATTCCTTTCTCCGAGTGAGCCGTGTGACTGTCAAAGGCTCTAATCTTGGAAGTTCAAGTTTCTCGTTCAATTCTCCCCAGAGCATCCTATCATCTTTGTCCTGCAAACTGAGAGGAAGGTCAGGACTGTCTTTGAAGTTCATGACTATGAGAGTCATCACGAACCGTTATTGTCGTCTCAGGTTTTCCGGTGCATCCAGGTTTAGCACCTGGTTGTTTGGGGGTCGAAGCACGTTTATGAATCCTTGGCTTTTTGATGAACGGACGGACAATCTTGTGGGTAGACTGTGCCACCAGATCATCAGTTGACTTCCGTTCAACATCTGGGATGTTCAACTTAGACTGTGACGCCTGGTCCTATTTAGCTCTTTTGACATGGGTCTAATCACCCACAGAGTTTTTGGGAACCAATGTCGCGTTCAAGGACCTTGAGCTGTGAGACCCGAGTTTGCTGAGGGAGTCGAGTACCGTCATCGTAATCATGGTGCTGAGTTTCAGTGTGTCATCATTAATGCTGTTGCATGCTCCGTCGTTGGTAGACCTGTCGACATTCCTGTTCTCGTTTTCAATGCGCCTTCTTGTTTGTCTACTCATCTTTTTGACTGTTTTTCCAAGTTTGCCCACAACTTGCTCTGCAGACCTGTTAGTAGGACAATGATATTACTCAGCAAGTTTGCAGCATCCGTGCTGCACGCAACACATTCCCACCTATGATCCGACTTGCTGAGTCTGTTGTAAGCAGTTGCTGTGAGATCTGTGCACGCTTCGTGGAACCAACCTATGCAGTTCTCGCACTGCATGCCAGATATAACAGCAAAACGACATCCAGATCGTTTGCATGAACGTTTCACGGCTGTATTGACGTAAACTGTGTTGTAGATGCTAGCAAAAGCCTAAGACCGTAAAAATACACTAAAAACACTGAAAACGGACAAGAGTGGATGAAACGGATGAGATAAACTGAACCAGTCTTTACGTGAAAAACTGAAAAAAAAACCGAATAGTAAGCTGAGGCAAAAGCACAGTTAACTGTTATATTGGGTGAAACTCAAAAAAAGTAATCTACCGAACGTATAGCTCAGGATAGATTCTTTTGGTCAGAAGTGGTACTTTTGTTGCGTAAGAGCACAGCGAAAGTTTGATAAACGCAAACCACGTTGGGTTTAAACTTCCCGTTCGAAAAGCGCGCTGTATGCTTGAAGGTCATATTCTGCCACTGTAATAACAAATTTTGTAACGATTTCGTTTGAGTTGCTTATTCTACCATAAATTTCAAGCTGCCTGTTATTCTGCCCTTCTCTTATGTGAGTCATCAAGGTTTGATGTGTTGAGTATAATTGACTGTTGTCAGTTCCCAACCTATCGTATTAGGAAATCTCAATCGTTTTGGCTCCTAAATACATATCATCGTAGGCCGTACTGAACGCTAATAACTAGAAATTGCATTTATCTTTCAGGTTTTCGGTGAAAGACAATATATGTGAATACATATGAGTTTTATGTCAAAGATGGAAGTTTCCTCTGTCCTCCTGTCCTCTAAATGGTAGTCGTCAGGAAATTCCTAAGAATTCCAATTGCAAGTCTAGATCTGTTTGTAGCAGGAAGAACATCCTGACTACCCAAGTCGACAGTAACCTTCCGGAATCCCACAGTGTTTGCCGCGACTGTTATCGTTACCCTAACGAAAATTGATGATTGTGTACAGGCTGAGAACAAGAAACGACATAACGCTATTAAAGAAAATCCATCCCTTAAAAAGTAGCCGAGAATTTAAAGACTGATCACAGTGACGGGTCATTTATTTTTCATAGGATGAAAGAAGCTGAAAGCTCAGAACCCAGAACTCGTTTTGAGCATGTCATTATGTTGATGAAATAGCTACTAAATCAGCTTTTGCCTCAGAATATCTCCGGAGTCACCTTGTTAAAGATGTATAGACTAGGTAGCCAAACGGACTTGAAACAAAATCATACCAGGTTGTTTAACGTAGTATTTAAACCTCCTTATGAACGGCATATAATTTTAGAGAATGGACATGAATTAACGGGTTCAAGATCTTTTGTTCATAAGAACTTGCCTCTCACACACCGTGTAAAATGCGAGGAGCCGAAAAGGAACTACAACTTCGGTTAGATTCTGGCTAAAAGGACCTAAAAATTGTAAGCTTTCGACTACATGCCACCCCCAGATGAAAGTGATCATGTAGTTCTAAACTTAGACTTTCATACAGTTATCAAAAACGAGCACACGTCATCCCTACTCATACCTAACGTCCGGAGAGCAAATATCCAAGACATTATACACTCAGCATTGTAAGTAGATTGGATAGTGGAGCCAGAGTCCCTAATATGGGAAAACTGTGAATACTTGTGCTTCGACACTTCGTAAGTCTAGAA